ATATATATATATATATGTATATGCATATATATCTACATATATATATATATATATATATATATATGTATTTAATTTATCGTGAAATTTTCATCATACAAAAGCTTTTTTTTTCAAGGGTTCACGCTGTGAAAGTACAACAGCAATGAAAGAAACGTTGCAAATGTTATGGGTGGATGCGTTACGTCTTGCACGAACGCTAGCTGCTGGGTTCGCAAATCTTCTGCAGTTATTCGAGCAGCGCTCAACAATCTATCCGAACGATATTAACATGGAGAAATTGCCCGAAAGGACTCTTTTGGTGTGTTATTTTCCTATATGTTGTACAAATTTTCGATCAGACCCCATCATGATGTAAAATCGGAAGGTGGGTTAGGCAGTATCAAGGCAGGTCAAGTATAAACCCTAGTAGCTCCAGGCATGCTAAAAGAACAATGTATCACATTTCTTTTTCATGTAATTCTGATTTATTTGCATAAAATAGGGTTATAGAAAGTATAAATTTGTACATAATTGAGTCTAAAAATATTTTTTTTGGATCAGTCTAACCAGGTAGACTTCAAGAGCTTGACGAAGATTTTTTAGTCTGTTAACTTTTACGTGTCTTATCACAATTCTTCAGCACAGCAGTTGTGTTGAGAGTGTTTCGAACTCTGCATGAGGGTCATAGGGCTCCATTATGCGTTTGAAAGCTGAAATTAAGATTGGGAAAATGCGTAGGCACTGTTGTAGTAGTAGTTAAGAAACTGGAAAATGGTGGATTAAGCAAAAGAATAGAAGGAAGGAGTAAGATAAACGGAGAGGCAACTTCTGAATAACATTGCCTTGGTCCATCAATTCGTATACATTCCTGTTCAGCACCACGATTGCATTGCGCCAGTCCCGTGATTGTAGTGTTTTTTTTTTTATTTTTCATGTTGTCCATCAAGTACATGTATAGCCCAACGTTACGTAGTTTACACTTCTGTGCATTGTTTGTTTCATTCTTGCAATTTTTTTTTTTTTTTTTTTTTTTTTAAATAATTTGATTTTTGCAGTATGGGCGTAAATTGTTGTCGAGCTGTGATATGTTTGAAGCGTGCTCGAGCGGCATAGAAGGAATTTTGGTGCGAAATGCTGATGACGAGTGCCTTAATATACCTGCTGAATGCTCAAAAATTACTTCTGTTGTTTCCGATGCTCTCTCATCTTGTAAGGTAATAAAGAAATATTTTAAAGTTTTGTCCGAACAATCCTACCAATCAATCGAAAATTTGATCAAAAGCTTAAAAAAGGCATGTTTTACAGGATTGGCATGATTTATTCGTTGAAAACAATGCTGTTGAGAGTCGTCTCTCATGGTGCGGTATGAATCTTTGTAAATGCAATGAAGATTGGACTACGGCATTCACCGAATTCCTTCAGATGCTCCTCTTCCTATCGCATCAAATCGAGCAGGTGCAAGAACAGCAGCAGAGTCCGATCATAGAAGAACTTTTCACGCATGTTCAAAAATTACCGGGACTTTCAGAAGGCAAAGCTCAAATTTTTTCTGTTTTCCAAGGTTACTTAGTTGATAGCGATTTTGATACCTTGGTTTCTTTTAAAATTCTACGAATTAAGAGAAATTGGTACTGTTTTTCCTCAAAATCGAATTATCAATCTGTAGCACGAATATAGCGTGCCCAACTACTACATCAAGCCTGCCATGTTTGTATATAAATGTAAATAGCGCGTTGATGCTTCATGAACTAGTGACAAAAACTTTTTGTTCGATACTTCCTGGATTCTTTTGGAGATTAGGTCCCCTGTAAACTAACCACTCACTAACTGTAGACCGACCATCTCAGTACAGTCTTTAAATTTAGGCAAACTTAGAGGAAAAGAAATGCTGATAACCCTTCGGTCCATTAATTCATATACGTCTTAACGCCGCGCGACAGGACCCCGTCAGTATGACAGTTGCAGTGCTTAATGGAAAGGAAAAGGAAAAGAGAAAGACGGTGGGAAGAGAGAGAAGGTGAAACGATATGACTGTGAGATTAAAAGGAGTGGGAGTGGGATGAAGCGGGAAAGGAGGATAAATTCTTTCTTCCAGGTTGTCATCGTGCTTACATGGCAAAAGTTTTTGATGAAAATCACATGCCCACAGCGACGAAGCGTTTACGTTGTGTCAATGAATGCATAGGCAGGTGTCTGGCATCGTTTCACCGCAATATCAACCGTTTCGCTGCGCTATTGCAGCTGATTGCTACTTCTACTCAACTTCGTGGGTATATTTTTATTTTAAATTATTCAAGTAAACTGATTCTGTTAAGTTGTCTTTATCTAAAAGTGGTCGTGTTCTAGAAATGGTGATTTATTTTTAACAAATACACCAAAGCCATCTTAATACCACTAAAATCTTGCCAGGAACTGTTAAACCAGTAATCTGTTTAAGATGAAAGACCCAAGCTGGAACGCACCAGGCGGGCCGGTGCGATTATGCGTTTTTGCACTTTTCGTGCCGTAGC